CGATATTGTTCTATGTACAATCCTTGTTTATTGATTGCACGTAATATTCTAATTTTCTGAGATTGTGGATTTGGGATTTTCATGAGCCATAATAATCACAATTATGACAAATCAAGGCTTGAACTATCTTGCTTTGCATGTAATGAGTCTATCTCATATATTAGTTTCACCTTTTAAATTGCATTATTGAAATAAATGAACTTTTGCACGATATTCTAATTTTTTGAGTTTCACCTGTATTATTACTAAGACCTTCCTCAAGTCATAGGTGCTCAAGTAATGTCAATGTGTTACTCATAATTATGTCCCACTATTCACAAGCTGATAGAGGAACAGAAATTTAGAAAACACGGCCAAATGAATCCTAGCTCTGAAAGATCTGATTTTAGGTTTCCCACTACATCAGCAATACTCAAGAACTTTTTAAAAAAAATCTCATCTATAATGTAGCTGAAAATGGTACTAGAACTGTTCTGCAAAAATTCAGATGACCATAAAATGTCAGCAATTTTCTATACCTGTGTGTTGACATGGTACTCCAGATTTTGGTAACTTACAAGTTGTCCATTTGTGGTATTGTAGCTCATTTTTGCTACTGAAAGGAATTCTTAGCTGGAGACCACTAAAACAAAAAAAACTAACTAGAGGTAGTTCGATGCTTGACAACAGCACACATTAATGACAGTTGCAGCATCTGTGATCACACAATTGCTGTTTGCAACTTACACAGGTTTCTGACAAGCAAAGTTCAAGGAGAAGCCAGCATGAAGTCGCAAGTTGTGCATTTGTGATATGCCTAAAAACCACTGGTGATTTGCTTAACAACCACAACCAGAATTGACATCACATGACATTGCACTTAACAAGTGTGCCACTTAGTAAGAAAATTTTCCTCTGCTTTCTAGTATTATTTAAAAAGCATGACAGTTTTGGAAAACTTAAAGCAAGACTGGGAGCCAAAAACACCATATTTAAACATGGAAATGAAAAACTCACCTGGTCTGGGGGCAGGATCACCACTCAAGCCAACTGCCTCTACAATGCTTGGTGTTAAAAAGTAGAGGTTTCGTAACCTAGCTACATTAGGCCCACAGTACTGCTGAGTTGCTGGAGAGGCTTTCAGGGTGTTTGTCATAGGGGTTCCTAGAGGATCAAAGGTTTGAAAGGTGGGAGACTTATAAATGGTCTCAACAGAGGCCTTGGTATGACAACAAGCCAAATCAGACTTGGGGACTTGCTGTTTGTTAATAGTGACAAACTCCTCTGGACTGGATGACCAAAGATCAAGCAAAGTTGTGGCAGCTTGATGACTATTTATGCTTGATGGCCTCTTTGGAGAAGATTTTGGCATAACTCTGGAAACAACCGAATTATTCGATTTTCTGCCTGAATCCCACTTTTGCAAAGGGAGCGGATTTCTTTCTGATGGATTCAAAACAATACCTGGAATTAGAAATCGGTGGTTAATCATTTTCATTTCATTCATTTTCATTTATTTCATTTGTATGCCGCCCTTTCCCCTGAATTTTAATTACCTAGATTTTCCTTACTGCCAAGTTATATGGTGACTTAAAATAAAGCTTGATAATAGTAACAAAAACAATAGAAAACAAAATAAAAGTTCACACATGTTGCAGATAAAAGAAAATGACTATGCTTATTTGTGCAGTGAAAAGTTTTTAAGAAGAATCTTTATAATGATGACTAAGTGACTAAATTTATAATGATATTAGATGAAATAGTCAGGTTGCAACAATTTCTTCACACTTATAAACACAATATAGACATAAGAAACTGGTATAAACCCATTTTTTACACAATTGCAGTCCAACTAATTTGGGTTTTAAAACAGAGTAATTGTGCAAATTTGAAGGCATGTTTAAAGAAAGACAGAAACCAGTTATTTTATCTTCAAGTTTTAAAATCTATAAAAAATTAATCAATTTGCTATTTCAAAGATAGAAGGGCATATACCAATCATTAAGTTATCTATATGATCTCTATGGTTTTATCATTCTTGTTAGCTATCTATTACTACTTTATTGAAATTATAAGGAGTGCCAATCCTGTTATGTCATTGGCAAACCGTCATATAAACAGAAGGAAGGCAACTTGTAGGAAAAGGTGAATATACCATCAAATCTTCATTTAAAGAACAGAAAGGTTGAAAACCCCTGGTGTGGATTCAAAATATTTGACTTGTTCATAGATGCATGCATTTTTCTACCAGAGAAAAAATATCAAAGGTAGGAAACTATTATACTGTCAGGGTTTTTCATTCAAAATTTAAAATCTTTTTCTAAGTCAGGGGGAATAAGCATATCTTTCTTATGGTTTGTGGGATGCTGGCCCAAGAACTAAAAGACTGCAGACTTTAGCTGTAAAAAAATCTTGACACACTGGTCCATTATTTAAGAAATCAAAATGTTGACAGAATAGCTTTATTAAAGATTTCAAAAGCTACAAAATACCTCAGGCTATTTAATGGAATTCTTTTTCACTTTGTCTACCACATTTTAAAAAAAGTTTAAGTGTCTCCCCTCCCCCGCTCTCTCTCTCTTAATTTTATTATTTTTCTCTCTTTCCATATACAGTACATAAATAAATAAAGCCCATTGACAACAGTTAAATAGATAATTCTCATTTTAAAATATTTTATTCATTTTCATTTTATATAATCACATATATACTGTGCAAGATTAAAGCCATATAACATTAAGCAATAAACATAACTCTTCTTATATTCCAAAATACAAAATCAACATAATGCTT